ACTTGACATTTATATACAATACACAGAAAAGACACAGAAAGCAATTTTAGTTGTGAGAAATATTTCCAAAATATCTGCCACATAGGGATTATAAAAACCCGGCCTCCTTATTTTTTTTTTTTATAAGAGCCCAAATTGTATACTGTATACAGTCAAATGCATGTTTTGGCTTCGCCCAGAAATACAGCAAGATCGCCTTGTTCTTCTGAACAGACTTTATCAGTAAGCCCCCCCCCCCCCCCCCCCCCGAATGAAGTTAGTAAGGTTACCGCTAACCTTGGATTCCACCGTGAGTAATAACAAAACGTTCTGAATTCTTTTTTTTTTGTCATTTTGTTTTAGATATGGGAGTCTTTCAAATTAATCAGCATCGACAAAACTTACTGGCGATTGATTTTCATTGCTTTTGTTTGTTTTATCTGAAAACCACAGACCTCGACATATTTAGTTCTCAGTTAAAGCCAGGAGCTTCAGAAAGTTTCATTGCCGTGTCGATGTACTAAAAATAATGGAATCCTACTTGCGGATAATAAGATTCGGGAGTAATATAATACAAAAAAGGACCTCTTAGCCTGGACGACGCTTATGTGAAAGATGCTATGCTGTTTGGAGGCGGGTGTCTTCTCCTGTAGGGAATCAAAACCACACTCCTTCGCAGATATGGCTATCGGATATGTATCCTGGCTGCCAGAAATCTATTCTTGTCACAGCTGCGCAGAGAGACCCCCACACTCGTCCCTTCGGCTTATGCCTGTGTGCTTATCTGGGACTTTAGATACGCTACTGTTTTTCCCAGGCGCTCAGCTGCTCTTGAGGAGCCAGATATCTTAGGATAACCCTAAGCCCAGCAGCACTCTGGATGTCTGGAGTGAAGATTTAACGCTGTGTTCCTCGAAGACTTCATACCCCAGAGTCTGCATACCCTGGCTGAGGGAGTTCACTCTTTGATTGTCGAGGTGTTATTGGTTTAAAAGATACCATCGTGTCTGTCTCTCTGCTCGCCATGATTGGTTGTTTCCGCCTCTCCAGCTTTCGGTCTGCTGAAGAGGAAAGAGTGAATTGGCGTGCGTCCAGCGGTAATCTCGAACGAAACGATTTACAGCGCCTGTCCCTGATTGGATGGATGGATGTTGCTGGCTATATACCCTTCTTAACGGACGGTAGCTTGCGCCACCTAAACCAAGTCTAAAAAGACAAAAACTTTATATGATTCCTCCCGCATTTGTAAGGCCAATTTTCTCCCCCTAACTATCACCAGGCAGTGTGGGATATCACCAAAATGACCTTGGGGGATCGGAAAAAAAAACAAAAAAAACATCACTTTCCTGCCTTTTCCCCTTGGCGAGGGAGTCGCCAATTTTCCTCTGGTCAGACCTTGTCGGCGTTACCCCAGCACCGGACCCGCTGGGAGACAGGGTTGAGACTTTGGGCCGGAGCCACGCGGGAGGGAGTCCCAATTTTCCTCTGTCCCGCCTGCCCCCAGCTGTGCTAGTTAGTTCTGCATCATTCAATTTTCCCTAGATAATTTCCACCAATCTTCTAATCGCCTCTTTGTGACTGCAATCCTCTTCTCCTCCGTCCCTCCATCGTCGCCAGCAAACCCCAGGGCCCCGGCCAGATCTGTTACCCCTTCGGGGAGGGATTCTGAGACTGTACGTCAGTGTTGCCCGACTGCGCTGGGCTGTGGGTTTTCTCGTCAGTGGGCTGTGGCAGCCTGCGTAGGCACAATTCCGGATACTGGCGGCGTCTAAGTTGCCACGTTTATTGATTCTTTCGTGTTCTGTGGTGAATGGAATCTCTCGAGGTTTTTTAAGAAAGCATTGTGCTATTGTTGCAAACAAAAATAAAAAAAGGAAAGCTATTTTATGTGAATCTGTACAGGACAGAACAAATGCAATTGAAATGTTTGTTTCCTTTTATGTTGAATTTTACTACGCCATACACTCAGCCGTGTCAGTCTACAAAGGTCTTAACTGTCGAAAATATTTGACCAGATAGGATAGCCGAAACGGATGTGTATTCCCCGCTCACAACATCAAATACGAGTCTCATCCATCGAACATATTGTAAATTAAATTGGGTTGTGTGTGTGTTTATACAGCCTAGAACTTGGTCTGCCTCACAGGGGCGACGAGTCTCCCAGCTGTAGATGAGCAATTTAGCCAGTGCGGTACAGCCGCTAGCCTGGGGTCTTTAACGTGCATCACGCAGTAGTGATACACGACCGCACGCCCAACATATTGTATGTAACCCACGGTGCAGCGTTATCCAAACAGGATTTATCGGAGAAAGATCTAAAATAACACAGCATATCCCATACCATAGCCTCCTCTATACGGAGAAAGCCTGGCGCGTCGCGTGAAAAGACGGCCGCCGTAAATGGGAAAGGAGGGGCGGAGAAACAGGAGCGGAGAGAACCTTGCCCGCTAGCGCCACAAAAGAGCGAGCGGCCAAACGAAGAAACAATTTTTTTTTTTCTCTTTTCTTGTCGTTATCGTGGAGAGGAGAAACTCAACGTCCACCCTTTCCCGTTTCTCCCTGCGCCCTTTCGAATCGCCGCGCCCGTTTCTCCCGGAGTACAAAGACGACGGTGACGAAAACACAAAAACAAGCGTGGTTCGGGGAGCGGCCGCTGACGACCCAAGCGCTCGCTGTCTAGGTCTGCCCTTTCTGCTCTGCGCTACCATATTGGTCACCGTTCGGCGCGCTCCTCCTCTCCTTTTTCCTGCGGCCGCGCGCTCTATGGCTCCGTCGTCGATGTGCCAGGCTTTCTCCGTATAGAGGAGGCTATGCCCATACACAGTGTCGACGAGTCACTTCACGACGATCGGACGGAATTCGGCTTGTCTTTGGGTACGTTTTAAAGAGAGCCGCTTTTTTTTTTTTTTTTTTTTTTTTTGGACAACACCAGAGCAAATAACCCCGGACCCTATCTCAGCTATTTTTTTTTTTGCTAAGACCGGGAACAAAGCCGGGAAGAATTTTCGGAGATTATCTCGACCGAAATAATCCTCCAGGGACGTCGAGCGGTCCGCGTCGCGGGTTCTTTGACGTTCGCTCTCTTCATTTGTTTCCTGCGAAGGCCGAGCAGACTACGAGCCCTGGTATTCTCTGGTTCTCACAGTGGAAGATAACACTAGAAGGGCAAGCACCCTGGACAGGCAAATAATGAAAAAAAAAAACTTTTAATAAATGCCGGCGAATTCCCAATGCACAATGCAGGTGGGGAATCGCGCAGACCGGGTTTCCACAGCTCAGGCGGGTGGGAGAATTTTCCGGCTGATAGGGGTCGCCCAAGTCGCAAAATGGTGGCGGCCGGAGAGCTATTTCTGCAAAGGTATATGACGGCGTATTCAGAAATCGGTGTGAGGCAGTTTTGCTTTTTAGCGTATGTCCCACATGCTTTGCTGGGATCTGGCAATCTTCGATGTCGAGGATGTCAAACACAACGGCGCGATGCCAGTGTCCTTTAACGTTGGGCTGCCCTCTATTTGTATTTAGCGGACAACCCCCTATAGATGGCGCTCGTTACTGGAAAAATCTTAGGAAAAGCTTCGGCTAGGTGGCACAAGCAGCCGCCCGATCAAAAATGGTTCAGCCAGGTATATCCATCCGTCCACCCAGGCCTATTGTTTTCACCCCTAAAGAGGTGGAACAACAGGAGCGTTTCGTTGGGAAGTAGCAGAAAAATTCGGCAGAGACACTTCAAACTGCTTACGTGTAGGTATGGCACGCAGCGCATCCCTACAAGCAGCGCGCCACGTCTTCCTTTTGCACATGGCGCGCCGGCGGTGACATCACGCTCTCCCCCCAGTGCGCAGGCGCGGCAACCCCTCCGGCTCCACGGTTTCCGTGACGGTGCATCTGCGTTGCCGTGCTTTTCTTTGTGTTTGAAGGGCGCGTCCGCCTTGACCTTGAGCGCCCGGCCGGCTTCCGTGACGCAGCATCTGATATGACGCGTCGCAGCCACTGGGAATTCCGCTTGTGGGTGCCGTTTTTCTGCTACAGACGGTCACAGACAACGCCGGCTTCGCTCCATGGGACAGTTAATGTCTTCGCATTAAAATAACGAAGCAAAATAACGTTTTGTGCGCGATCAAAGGCGTCGTTGTGGTCGGCCTTCCACGATTGGCCAAACACCAACTTTATTAGATGAACTCAGTTACGGAACTGCGCATAGACGCTGCTTCCACGAGCAGCACCCCCTCCACGGTCCGCGTCCCGTCGTTCGACGCGCTGCCGTTTTGGGGACGTCTGCTATGGTCACTGCTGTGTATTGTGTGGACTACATATGTTTTGAAGCGCAGCATCAAGATGGCGCTTCGACGTACTCTATGATAAGGGACCGTGCTCTATGATACGAGAGCCAGAGTTGCGCGTTCATCCCCGTAGCGCCGTTTTTCCTGCACTGCATCTTGATCTTGCTCCTCACGTGACTGAATTCGGCGAATAGCGGCGCCGCGCGTTCGAGGCGCGTGGCGCGCTCAAAAGCAGGGGTACGTACGCCGGGGCGCGTGCAACGTATACTTTCTTGCACGGCATTTGAGTCTGCTCCTCACGTGATCGGACCTCGGCGAATAGCGGCGGGGCGGCACGTGGTAAACAGACGCGCAACTCTGCCTCCCTTAGGGAGTTTATTCAGGAATTCTACTCTATGATAAGCGGAACTAATCGATGACCTCGCGACATGGCGGCCGGCAGTGAAAAGACTCTTAGGACAGTGTCGACAGCTCTTGGGCGTCCTCCGGAGTTTCCGTGCATACGGCCAGAGAGGTATCCCACCGGATGGTTTGCTGACACTCTACAAAGGTCTTCTCCAATCGAAGCTCCTATACGCACTACCATTCGTCAATATCAGGCGACCCCAGCTAGACGCGCTCGAACGTTTTCACCGTGTCGCTTTACGACTCTGTTTGGGACTTCCCCCATACGCGAAAAACGTGGCAACGCTCACGGAGGCACAAGAAGAGCCAATCATCCTACGAGAGGAAAGAGTGGCAATGCATTCCCTAGTGCGAATGCACACGACCCCGTCGGCACAGTACTTTCTTGCCAACCTGCTGAAACGACCATCGTCGCATTTTGGTCAACTAGCTGCACAATTTCAGCGTAACGTCGGAAGCCCTGGAGTTTTATATTCTTCACGTCCCCCACACTCCATACGCCCACCGCTAGACGTGCGTGAAACACTTCCAGACCTGCCTCGGAAAAAAGATATTCACCCAACTGTCGCCCGCACAGCTGTCGCAGTGGCTCTCGAAGATGAATACGTTGAACATCTTGAGGTCTACACAGACGGCTCAGTTGACAAGAAGAGAGGAACTGCAACCGCGGCATACACGATCCCCGCAATATCAACTGAAAGTGCGGTTCTCTTAAACATCGAGACGTCCTCTACAACAGCGGAGACGGTTGCGATTCTTCTGGCACTTACGGCACTGCAGGAACGTCCTGAAATCAGTAAGGCTGTGATACTAACCGATTCTCGAAGTGCGCTAGTTCACATCGCCAACCCCGAGCACGCTCCCTTGATCGCCCGGGAGGCTGCACACATAGCAACAAAGCTAGAGGACAACGGATGGAGACTGGTATTTCAGTGGGTGCCATCCCACAGCGGAATTCTTGGAAATGAACGTGCAGATATCCTGGCAACAAGGGCACACAGCATATCGACTACCACGCACAACCTGCGACGCTTCCACGAGGCGCGCCTTCTCATCGCACGCGATCTCAGGAAAAGACACCCCGATCCCGGAACAGCCAATGGAGAAGGTCCTGTACCAGTCCCAACCTCTAAACTGACGCGGAAAGACGCAACGCTTTTGCATCGTCTCCGAACTAATAGCGCGTTCACGAGGAAGACTTTGCATCGCTTTGGAAGGACGTCTCAGAGAAGCAGTGCTGACTGCACTGCGTGCGGGGACGTTAAAGACATCGATCACATACTATGGCACTGCCCGGAATACGAGAAAGCACGGAAAACATTACTAGCTTCGGTAAGGGCGACAGGGGCACAGGCGTCCACAACAAAGGAACTGCTATTTCCTACTGGCGGCAAGCAACGGGCGCGGGTCATATTCCGTGCAGTGCTCGAGTTTGCGCATGTGACTGAGATTTCAGACCGCCTCTAACTGCCGCGCGCAATTCGGAAACCGGTAAAGATCTCGTCACACGTTTGCGACATGACAATGATGCAAAACTCCAGTGAACGTAACTGTGTTGTGGCAGAACTGCGGAACTGCGGCTGTGAAACACAAGTCTCGCCGCCGCTTCGCGGCGGCGCGACATGTTACACAAGTTCAGCTCGTTGACCGAATGTTGAGAGCGATTGAGCGACTGTTGGCACTTGAGCGTTTTATCGAACCTTTACTTTGAACAATGTTTTAGCCGTGTGTTAGCAACGCTTTGCCCCCTCCCCCCCCCCCCCCCTCCCTCTACCATACAAATGATTTGATTGGCGCTTTCCCCTAGTAACTGCTAAAACATTTCATTCAACCCATCTCAATCCACATCTTTCCCTCCCTCTCCCCTTTGGCTATGCGAGTCTTTTCCCTGCCTGGAGAATAACATTTCGCATAGCCATTAAACCCCCTTTCCCTGTTTTATACACCACATCCCCCCCCCCCCCCCCCCCCCCCTAGATGGCAGTGGCCCTTGGAATCCCTTGGGCGCCGCCGGCCAGTGTTTGCCCTGCCCACTGGCGGCTGTTTCAGGGGGGGGGGGGGGCAAAATATGTGCCTTGCCCCCCCCCCCCCCCCCCCCCACACACACACACACACACACTCTGAGAACTGGGGGGGGGGGGGGGGAGGGGGCAAGCGCCGAGAGAAGGAGAGCGCGCGCACAGTTTTATTCAGCGCTCAAAATAAGAGAGGAACCGCATGCCTGTACCCTCCACTGCATTGCCGAGCTCTCATATAACGTCTATAGGGGAATTAATTCTGATTTCGCAGATACAAATAAGAGTAAAGCCATAGTGTTAACTTTGACGGTGTTGGTCTAATAAGGCGACAAGCTTCCACCGTGCTTTTTACAGACGCCACGGAACTTGTTGTTCGCAACTGATAATCCCGGTCGTGATGTCACGGGTATGAACCATAGGACGGCGATACCAAAAGGGCCACGTCACGGGAAGGACACGAAGGACGAGGGCGGATTAAGCAGATACTTTACCTGGAGAATGCCATTCTGCTCCGCTCATTTGCATTAGACAGAACGCCTACAGCGCTAAATCCTCCCCTAGCGGAGGGGGAACCCCTTTTTCCTTCGCGAAAACGCCGTAGAGCTGTCACGCTGCGCCGATCGGAGAAGGCTGTTGCGGACGCACCGAGATACCGGATTCTCCGAGACAGCAGAGGCGGCTGCCTCCGTTGTTTCGAAAGGTTTCCACAACGATAGATGGCGCCAGCCACCTCTTCCAATTTGAAGGGAGGATACTGCGCGCGTCCAGCCATTCCAACTACGCAAAAGCAATCGGTTCCAAGGCTATTGGAGATTCGCGGAGTAAGACGTGTTCTGTAAAAAAAATTCTTGGCTTACTTAAGACGCCGTTATGTCTTACCTTTGTATTTGTTCACGATCCATGGGCAGAAATAAGGGTGACCGCGCAGGTGAGCGATCAAACTGAAACACCCCGGAGAGGAGGGTGCACCAAAGAGGGGGGACAAGGCGTTCTGTCTGTCCCCTTGTTTTGTGTCCCTTCGACTTCGGGGATTATCGGGGATTCACAAGGGGCCACCCCAGCCAGTCCAGCGCTCTTTTAGGCCCCCTTTTGAAAGTATGCCCCCTACGAGGAGCTTTGGATCCCCTGCACAATCGCGGACACGAAACACACCACCAATGTTAGAAGCCTATAGATGCTAGTAATTTTTTCGCGTCGTTATCCTTTGCGGATTTAGACTTGGACTATGTGCGGTGTCAGTTCTTCCGCCATTGCGCAGTGGTTCCGATGTTCTTACAGTCGTCAGGTGGCTTTCGGAGGGGGTCTGGCGCATGGTGGGACACCCTCAAATTAGGAGTTCACAAAAGCTTGTAAATTTCACCACGTTTTTTTTTATAATGTATTTTTTATTGACTCAATATAGCAACAAAATGGCGGATTTACGCCACTTGAAAACAACCTATACATTAAAGCGAGCCCTGCGCGGATAACAGCTTGATCACCCCATCCGCATATTTTGTATCCGCATCCGCAACATTCGGAACCGCACTCGGCCAGCAATGCGCGCATTCACGTTGCATCATAAAATCAAACTAGAAAAAAAAAAAAAAAAAATAAGAAGGTTGGATGGTATTTTTTAAGCCGTTTGCTTATCTTTGTACAAAGAACTGTTCGAGTCAGAGAATGCGTTGAAAATCATTTCGTCGTATTCTGTTTGAGCGTATTTAGGTTATGAACGGTCATTCTTCCAGGCACACTGTACATCGCTGGAAATCGTCCTGGGTGTCTGCAACACACTGCTGTGTGCTAAATCTTTTCTTTTTTTATGTATATTTTGTAGCATTTATTTCTCAGATCCTATGTTCTAAAAACGGCCGATTAAAAATTCAAAAAGAAGACAACACACAAAAAAAAAAAAACCTTCCACTTTTTTTTCTTTTAATTTTGACAGAGTTGATGCTTGAGAGGGGGTCGCCTCCTCTCCAGCGTTTTAAGCAAATACTCTATAGTATATTATTATATATAAAATAGTCGCGACGTGCTATTTTGTGTCTTCATGATTCCGACGAAGCTTCGAAGTGTTTCGCGAACGAACGCGTGTGATCTGGCATTGGCTGCATCATAACTGCGTCCTAAACGAGTATTGTCTTTTTTCTTCCCACTTGCCGCGTGTGAGATTGATGAGATGGGCTCCTGGCGACCTTGGGTTCGGCGATGAGGCGTCGGGCACGGCGACCGGACGCATCGGCGTGCTCGGAGCGACCCGCTGTCGTAATCCGGGGCTTGGGAGAGACGGGCTTTCGCAGAAGTGTTTGCTCAGATTAGAGCAGGTCGGGGTCCTCCGTTTCACACTATACTTCCTCATCCGCCCCCCCCCCCCCCCCCCCCCCCCCCCCCCCCTCAGATAAAAAGAAAAGGACCCGCGTGGAGTTTTCTTTTTTCTTTCTTATTATATCCATCTCGCTTGTTATCTGCTTTTCGAGAGAACTTCGTCCTTCGCCATAAAATATATAGTACGGCTCTCGATTATCCGAGCTGTGGGATACTCGATGGAGCGTCGCGCAGTTAACGCAGAAAAACGATAGCGTTTTTTTTTTTTCTTTTTTCTAGAGCGCAGTTTTTAGGCGTCCGTTTCCGGCTTGAGTGGCGTCGGCGTAACCGTAACGCGTCGCCGTCGGCGTAACCGCGCGGTGCATTATGGGAAACGTCCCATAATGCACCGCGGTGACGCACGCGTAGCATGATGGAACTTTTCCCATAATGCACCGCGCGGGAGGGAGGTGGAGTAGCAGGGAGGGTGAGGAGGGAGGAGGGGTATACCCTTCCCTCCTCCTCCTCAAGAGCTGCGCTCTAATTCGGCGTTACAGGGTGTTGTAAACGTCCTTCATTTTTTCTTCTTTTGCTCTTATGCGATGGCATTTTTAGATCCTTAGTCACACTCAGTCTCCTACACGTTACTCGAAAGAAGTAATAGATTACAACTACTCTCGCTTATTTAGTATTAGGTTAGGTTACTCGAGACGAAAAAGTAATTACACGTTACTTGGAAAAGAAGTTACCGTCACCCTCTTCGATTACCTCAGATTTTCGAAACGACCGAGTTTTCTGCCGCTTTGAAAACGGGTCTTTCCTACTGTGTGCCAATGAATTAGAATCGCCGAATTGCGAACCAGGCTTCTTGTTAATCTATCGATTCTGGTAAGCCATATATACTTCTGTCGGAGATATGGTTTGAGGATTCCTTGGTAAGAAACTTCTACGAACAAAGAGTGCCATTCAAAACGGGAGGGAAAAAAAAAAAAAAAACGGTTACGAGTGATTTTAGCATTTCCAAAAGTAATCAGATGTACCGTTGTAATCCCGTCCCAATAAATGTAATCAAATGTTTACACACATGAGTGCAAAAAGTAATCGATTAGGGGTAATTTGATCGCCTGTAATGTGTATACCATTACATCTCTCGTTGCTCTGCTCGTGCGTCGTACAAAACAACAACAATAATAATAGATCTTTATTTCTAACAATGAGGTACAGTGTTGGAGAGACACTCGGTGTTCGCTGGGTACACTCCTCGAGCGAGCTTCGAAGAATGCGCCTGCTTCGCACGTGTGCACACGCTGCGAAACGTGTCTGCAGGCAGTTTTACAGCGACAACTGCGAGGGAGAACCACCCGGGAAATGACGTCATCGATCGGACGTTTTT